AGAAGCCCGGTGGCGTCGGCTGCACCGAGTGCACTCGCAGGCGCACATACCTCTGTTCTGGCGGGGATGCCGCCTGTCTGGTTAGCCTGCTGCCGCGGCGGGCCTCGGCGGTACCCCTCCGCAAACCAGTTCATCATGTCAGTGAGGGCTGCGCTCTGGTGAGGGGTTCTGGGGGCCCATAGCAGGTCGGCCTCGCCCTCCAGGGGGCCCCACTGATCGAAGTCCCTCGGCCGTCCCTGGTCGCAGAGGGCGCAGTGCTCTTCGGTGGCAGGCGTGAGAGCAAGGCACCTCTGGCACGGCCAGAGCACAGTGTTGCCCCTCATTCTCCAGTGCGCGCCGGGGTCGGGGCGCGCCCCTGGGCAGGGCATGCCTGGGACTTCGGGCAGATCCGCGAACGCTCGGGGGTTAAAACTGGCAAGCTGCGTCGCGGGATGCTGGGACCTGCATGTGTTGCAGGTCCACGTGACGACCTGCGTGCCCGGCTCTGTCTCTAGGGGGGGCCCCGAGTCGCTCGTCGACTCGCACTGTACCCGACGCGCTGGGGAGTCGGCGGGGCCACGCCCCCCGCCCATGGAGTGTGCTGCATCGACGGTGTGCGAGGCCGCGGGCGCGGTAGTGCTCATAGCAACCCTGGGTACGTTCCCCCGGAATGCAGGTGTCGAGCCCTGCCTTTCGGCGGTTGGGCCGACCGTTGGCGCTGCGAGTTCGGCTTGGAGGTCGAGACCGTTCGCCTCGCCATCCGCCCCTTTCCACGGGAATGTGGGTTCCGTCTACGGGGGGGGGAAGGCGCCCGGTTGGGGTTGGGGGGGTTAGCAGGTCCAGAAGTGGCGCCTTGTCGGACGGGGATAGTGGGTCGATCTCTGCCGATCCGAAGATTTGCCCCTCTCTCATCGCGGCGGGAGGGGGAAGAGGTCGCCTGATCGATCCACGTGGTGGGTCGTCCTGGGGGGTCGTGGCCGTCGCTCCTCATCGTTTGCGGACTGGCGTGGCCTCGTGGCCTGCAGGGCGGCGCGCTACCCCCCGCTATGGCGTCCAGGTCTCGCCCCACGCCAGCTTCTGAATAGCTGGGGACCTCCGCGGCACTCATCCCGACGAGTTCGGGAGAGGCCACGTCGCCGTTACTCCTGCACGGCGGGCACAGGGCAGCAGGTTGGTCGGCATTTGCTCCCATCTGGGGGGAGGAGGGAGAGATAGGATAGGGACAAGCAGGGCCTTCCGCGGGTTTAGGGCGACACAATGTCGCACTGCCGGAGTGATCAGGGAAAGGAACAAGAGAGGTCTGCTCGTCCGGTCGGGGAGCAGGGTGACTCACAGTCGCAGACGCGTGAGTGATAGGAGGAGAGAGTGGAGCGGAAGGGTCAGAACGTAGAGGGTCTCTCGATAGCGGGTCACTCGCGGGCTCAGGGCGACACAGAGTCGCATTTCCAGATTGAAAGCGGGCGGGGGAGGAAGGATTGGGAGCAGAGGGCGGGGCGTTCGTCAAGGGAGCTCTCGTCCTCGAGTGCGGGTCTGTCGCCGTGCCCCCCCTTTCCCCAGGGCTGCCAGGTCCTGGCAGCGGAGGGGGGGGTCGGAGTTCAGGGTGCCAGTCGTTGAGGCATGATCAGTCAGAAGTGGACGTACAGTGCCTGCGGCAGCCCCGTTGCTAGCTTGCACGCTCTGTAGTTCACTCGATTCCCCGGCGGAGGTGGGTGCATGGCCACCAGCTCCCAAAAATTCGTACCTCAGGACTTCTTCCCCTTCCTCCTGCCCCGTCTCGTCCCTGGGCGCGGCCGCATCCTCGGGTTCAGGTACTTGCTGCCCCACCAGCTCCCAGTCGCTGCCCTCGTGGGGTGCTGGGGGGGGGTAACTGAAGGCCTGATCAACGAGGTGTCGTCAGCCATTCAGAGGCGATCGCTCGCGTCGAATGGCAGCCGAGAGCGGCGCAAGGCGAGGGGCGCCGCCGGGGCGCGCGCGGGGGGACCGGCGCGCGGCCCAGGCGGTGCGTCGGACGCCTCCTCGAAATGGGGGGTTGCCCCTCGCGGTTTGAGCCAAAAGGCTACGGAGCTGCCGAAAAACAAGAACCACCGCTTTCCCCAAAACACCCGGTTTTCGGCCAGCGTCCGGCCGTGGACGCCCTGCGAACGCCCTGCGCGGCGGATGGGATTTCTGGGTTTTCTGCCCGTGCCCAGCCGCGGGTGCCTCGGGGGCGCCCCGTGCGTTGGCTAGGAGTTCTGGGGGTTCGAATGGTGCCCGCCCCGTGCGCAGGCTGGGATTTCCTCGGCCGCGGGCGCCTCATGGGCACCTCGTGGGCGCCTCGTGCGCCACGCGGCCTGCACCGCGTATATTGCACCGCGTGGCTTCCGCCACATTGCACCAGACAGCGTACACCGCATGCCTTGCACCATGTAGAACTTGCGCCACAAAGCTTGCACCGAATGGTTTGCACCACAAAGTTTGCGCCACGTAGTAGCATGCAACACATGCTTACACGGCATAGCTTGCACCACATGGGAGTACACCACATATCTTGGAAAACATAGCTTGCACCCAGGAGACGCCCAAGATCGTCCCAAGACGGCCCATAAAGCGCTGAAGAGGGCCCCCAGAGAGCTCCAGGAATGCCTAAGGAAGCCACAAGACTCCCCAAGGTCTCCAAGACGCCCCGAGAGGCTTCAGACTCCAGACAGCCCAAGGTGAACCCCAAGGCAGCCAAGGATCGAGAGGTGCTAAAGGTGTCCCTGTCCCAAAGTACTGCGAACTTTTCGCTCCAGTTTTGAGCACTTTGGGTCCTCTGGGCCTCGTGAGGGGTTCTCCGGAGGCCGTGAGGGACTCCTTGGGCCAGGAGCAATCCTAGCAACACCCGAAAGGAGGGGTCACAGAGAGCCCCAAGGCGCCCCCAGGCGGCCCCGAGACGTGCCAAGATGGCACATCTGCAGACCAGCTTCCCGAAGGCAAGCCCGCCGTGGCTCCCGCTGTGCGGAATCCACACCGGTGCGTGCCCTGAAAGCGACCAGATGTCAAATGTGGGGGAAGTGAGAAGGAGAAGGCCTTCTAGGCAACGCGCGACTACAATGGCGTCGTGTTTGCGGACGTGGGCGGTTTATGCAGAATGCAAGTTCACGTTCGACAGTGCGGGCGGCTGCTGTGAAGCGAGTGATGCAACGTGTGAATACGATTCCAAATCGAGCGAGGTGCTCTGCGCGTTACAACTGCTTTCTACGTTCACGCCCGTACGGCAATCCCCCAGCGGGCCAGCGAAGCTGGGAGCAAGGGTGGCTGAGGCCGAGTAAAAGAGCGAGGATTAAAGACTGCAGGATTGCAAAGATTGTGGTTCGGTTGTAAGCGAAAGGGCCTCGCGTATCCAGACACGCCCTTGCCTTACGGGACCACCTACCTCCCCCTACCGATTGACGGGTGGTCCCGGTGATTCCCCGACTCCTCCCCGCCCCCAAGATGGCGCCAAGACGGCTCCAGATGGCTTCAGGATGGCTCACCTAAGGCTACGACGGCCTGAAGAAGCACAAAACACTGCCACGAGACTTTCAAGAAGGCTAGAAAAACGGCCCCGAAGAGCCCCACGAGACTGAAAGCAACCCTCTAAGAGATAAAACTCACTGAGGGCTCGTTGGGTTGTGCAAGATTTCCGTATCCGCCACCGCGCTTGCAACGTTTAGTGTGCGTCGGGTCCTTTCGCCTTTTCCGACGAACTCATTCGGACCCCCCGACGCATCGGGGCCTGGGTGCGTACATGGTTGTGGACAAGTCCCTGCGAGGGCAGAAACTGGTGACACATACAGAGCCTGGGGAAGGGGGATTCCGTGGCCCCTCCCCGCCAAAGGCGCCCCGCCCCACCCCCCGCCCCGCCCGAGCGCGGTGGCGGAATCGCGCAGAATCGCATCTGGAGGCTGGCTTTTCGGTGTCAGAAGCGTCCAAAACGGCCCGAAACGCTCACAAGAGCGCCCCGAGAAGGGCCACAAGGCGCCGAAAAGGGCACCGAGAGGACTGCAGGACGGCCCCAAAGGCCCACAAGACACCCCAAGAGAGACCTCACACGCCCTAAGAGGGCCCCGAAGAACGTCCAGACGGCCCAGGGGGACCTCAGGACAGCATAAGAAAAAACGAGGGCCCCAAGACGCCGGCCTTGAGACAAGCCAGAACGGCTCCCCGGTTGCCCAAGAGATCCCACAAGGGCCCCAAGAAGCACCCACAGAAGCCCCGACAGAAGCCTCCGCGAGTCCCCCCAAAAAAAACCAAGAAGGCCCAAAAACTGTCCGAACGGAGCACCAAGACAGCCCCAAGACACAGACACATCGGGGCCGCGCTCGGATTATCAAAGCTCCTTATCACCTTCCGCCTCCCTCCTCCTTATCCTCCTGCTCCTCCTCATCCCACCCCCTCCTCCTCGGGATCATCTGTACCCATCAATAGAGCGACGCGGACATTGAGACTCGGCCAGGGCCCTCCTCCTGATCACGACATACCCTTTCGCCCTCGCTGGCTGCGGCAGTTGCGTATGTGTTTCCCCGTGGAGGCCCGTCGTGACTCCTGCTCTGCGGGATAAATTTATCCTCGGCGTCCCCAGTTTATCTCTTACCCCCTGCTGCCCCTGCTCCCCCTGGCTCCCAATCCCCCTGGAGGGAGGGAGGAGGAGGAGGAGGGGAAGTGGAGGATGAGGGAGGAGGATGAGGGGGAGGAAGAGGAGGAGCAAAAGGAGGAGGAGTAGGAGGGAGAAAAGGAGGAGGAGAACAGGACGACGACGACGACGACGACGACGACGACGACGACGACGACGAGAGAACCCATACCTATCGATCCATCCTGGGCCATCTTGGGTCAATGTCTGACGGTCTTGGGGCCCGAAACGAGCCCCCTAGAGAACCGAGCTGCGAAAAGAAAACACCGTCGTGCTTTGTCCGTGAAGCGAAAGCTCTGGGAGCACAAAGGAGCACGAGAAGGAGAGTCGTCCGTCCGTGGGGGCGAAGACTACGCGCACCGCTCGGCAGAGGGCGGCGCTGGCGCACCCTAGCTTGGACGAGGACACCGAGTTCTGGTCGTCCTGAGTCCCACGCGACCCGCGGAGCGACAGGACCAGCGCCGGGGGCGCTGGACGGCTAAGGGGGACGAATACTTCCACCACTGCCAGTGTCAGGGCACTTCCCTTCGGGGGCTGCTTGTCGTCTCCCCCTCCCTCCCCCTCTCCATCTCTCCCGCACGACCCACTGTGATTGGTCAAAAGGTCGAAAAGGCCCCTCCTCACGCCTCAATCGACCCTCCTTTCTCCTCTCTTCTCCCTCCTCCTCGTCCTCCTTCTCCTCGTCCTCCTCCTCCTCCTCTTCTTCCTCCTCTTCCTCCTCCTCCGCCTCCTCCTCCTCCTCCTCCTCCTCCTCATCCTCATCCTCGTCCTCATCCTCATCCTCCTCCTCGCCCTCCTCCTCCTCTTCTTCCTCCTCCTCCTCTTCCTCCTCCCTCCAACTCCTCCTCTTCCTCCTCCTCCTCCTCCTCCTCCTCCTCCTCCTCCTCCTCCTCCTCCTGCTCATCATCATCATCATCATCCTCATCATCCTCATCCTCATCATCATCATCATCATCATCATCATCATCATCATCATCATCCATCATCATCATCATCGTCCTCCTCCTCCTCCTTCCTCCTCCTTTTTCCCCTTCCTCATCCTCCTTTCCCCCTCCGTCCCCCTGATCCCCATCCAGTCATTCCTCCTCTTCCTCCTCTTCCTCCTTCTCCGCATCATCAGCATCACAATCATCATCATCATCATCATCATCATCATCATCATCATCATCATCATCATCATCATCATGATCATCATCATCATCATCATCATCATCATCATCATCATCATCATCATCATCATCATCATCATCATCATCATCATCATCATCATCGTTATCATCGTCATCCTCATCATCATCATCATCATAGTCATCACCATAATCATCATCATCATCATCAGCAGCATCATCATCCTCATCATCAGCATTATCAGCATCATCATCATCAGAAACGTCATAATCATCATCATCATCATCATCATCATCATCATCATCATCATCATCATCATCATCATCATCCATCATCATCAGCGGCAGCATCATCATCATCATCACCAGCAGCATCATCAGCATCATCAGCATCATCATCATCATCATCATCATCATCATCATCATGATCCTCATCATCGTTATCATCGTCATCCTCATCCTCATCATCATCATCATAGTCATCACCATAATCATCATCATCATCAGCAGCATCATCATCCTCATCATCAGCATTATCAGCATCATCATCAGAAACAGCATCATCATCATCAGCGGCAGCATCATCAGCATCAGAATTATCATCATCAGTATCATCATCAGCATCATCATCATCACAATCAGCATCAGCACTATCACCATCAGCATCATCATCATCAACAACGGCGGAAACAACGACGACAACACCAAGAACGACGACCATCACAATAAAAACAAAAACAACCACAACGAGAACAGCATGATCATCATCGTCGTCGTCAGCATCACCATCATCATTACCATCGTAATCCTCATCCTCATCCTCTTCCTCATCATCATCACCATCACTATCACCATCTTCATCATCGTCATCGCCATCGTCGTCGTCGGTGTCATCATCATCATCATCATCATCATCATCATCATCAGCAGCATCACCAGCATCAGCAACGCAATCGTCATCGGAATCGTCATACGTATAACCACCACCACCACCATGGTCATCAGCATCATCATGACCATCATCATCGTAAAAATCGTCATCGACATCGTCATCGCCATCGTCATAGGTAGCATCATCATCATCGTCATCATTGTCAGCAAAATCATCATCGTCATCAGCATCATCACCCTCATCCTCATCCTCGTCCTCGTCCTCATCATCATCATCATCATCATTATCATCATCATCATCATCATTAGCAGCAGCAGCATGATCGCCACCATCATCATAATCTCATCAGCATCATGATCATCATCACCATCATTATCATCATCGCCATCATCATCAGCATCACAATTACAATCAGCATCACCATCAGCATCATCATCAACAGCAGCATAATCATCCTTACCCTCATCATCATCAGCATCATCATCTCCACCATCAGCATCATCATATCCTAATCCTCATCATCACCACCACCATCATCATCACCATCACTATCAGCATCACCACCATCATTATTATCATCATCAGCATCATCATCCTCCTCATCCTCGTCATCAGCACCATTATCGTCATCCTCCTCATCATCATCCTCATCATCAACATCAGCATCACCATCATCTTCAGCATCCTCATCCTCATCCTCATCCTCATCCTCATCTTCGTCATCAGCACCACCCGAACCTCGCAATGAGAGGCTTCCTCCGTATCCGAAAACTGTGGTCCACCGAACTGGCCGTGGGGCGGCGAGCGCGGCAGCCTTCAAGGCTGGGGCATCAAGCAGGCGCTGCGTTGGCCTGGATGCTTACTGTTGGCGACGGACAAGCAGTGGCACCCGCTCCTCGCGCCTGAAACCAGGACGCCCCTCCACATCGATGGACAGGCATCGGCACCCCGAGGAGGAGGAGGAGGAGGAGGAGGAGGAGGAGGAGGAGCAGGAGGAGGAGGAGGAGGAGGAGGAGGAGGAGGAGGAGGGGGAGGCCGCCCTCGCGACGGTGATTCACATCGGCAGCCGAGAGCTATGGTCCGCGAGAAAGTGCACGGGACGGCCGCCGGGCTGCCGCCTGCGGGCGCGGAGGCCCTCGACGTCGACGGTGTCCCGCAGGCGCCGCGTCGTCTTGGATGCCCAGCCTTGTCAGCAGACAGGCAGCGGCATCTGCTCGTTGCGCCGAATGTTCGTGCCCCCGTCGACGGACAGGCAGGGACATCCCGCCGTCGCAAGGAGGGCTTGCCCGCATGCTAGCCGCAAGCAGTGGAGTCGAGACTTGCATGGGACGACCTCTGCGAACAGATGTCCAAAGAAGGCGTGCCGCCACGCACGGCAAAGCAATGTGGTGTGACCTATCGCATCCTGGCCGCCTGGCCGACAGTATGGTGGTCGAAGTTCTTGACCATAACCCTGGACTCGGGGAGCAAGGCCAGCGAAAACTGAGGGGAAGACCATCAGTCGTTCTCTGACAGGGGCGGAAGAGGGGACCTGGAATTCAAGGCGGTACACCTGAGAGAAAAGGAGGCACGGAATTCAAAGGGATACACGTTAGATGAAGGAAGATCACAGCTTCAAGTGGATACTTGCCCCAGACTAGGAGTCACGCGTCGCGTGTGTACTGGGGGTACCGGCCCATACGCTATCAAGGCGACTTGACGCCCCCTCCGCTAAGGCCAACACCAATTCGGAGGCGAGTCTCAGAACAATGTCTTGGACGTACAGACACTACGATATCGAAGCGGCCTGCTGGCCCGTCCGAGGGTCGAGCATGGATTTTGATACGAGCCTCAAAATCTGAATTTGCCGAGCCACCGATTTTGAGGCGAGTGTAAAGTTGTAGTTTGGATGCACCGGCCAATCCGATATCAAGCGACGCACGGGCCTGTTCGCTGGCCCAACGGGCCAAAGACGTGCTAAACTCTGCGGTAAGAGTTGGACAATGTTTCTAGTTTGCGCGCGCGTGACGGCCCCTGGGGGGCCCAGGACGAAAAATATCCAGCAAGGTTCCAGAAAGGTCCCAGCAGGCTCCCGGCAGGTCCGGGTCACGGCTGCTGGAACTCCTGCGCCAAATGGGTGACAGGCCCCACGGCCTCAGGCCAAGAGCGTTCCAAGATGGCCCAAGTTGGTCTCAAGACGGCGCAACAGGTGATGAAGACGCCCCAGGAGGGCTCCAAGACGACCCCAGTAAATGTTGCCGCTACCGCCTCTTTAACTTTCCGACCGCCCAGAACGGCCCAAGAGGCCTCCAAGATCGCCTCAACTCAGCCCAAGAGGCTCCCAGGACGGCCCCAAGACAGCCCAAGAGGCCCCCAGGACGGCCAAAGAGGCCTCCCCAGAAGGCTCCCAAAGGCTCCAATGAAGGCCCCAAGAGGCGGAACCCGAACAAACACTTGAAGCCTTCCTCGAAATTGGGCCCCCCAGACCGCAAGCAGGCCCGCAAGAAGCAATCAAAGGGCCCCCAGAAACTCAAAAGGATGCCCGGCGGGGCCCCCAAGAGGCCCCAGGAGCTCCCAAAACTGCTGGCAAGAGGCCCCCGAGAGGCCTTCCAGGAGACCCCAAGAAGCCTTCCAAACCTGACTGGACAAGAACGGGAAGCGTCGCTTTAGTCCACCAAGCATGTGGAAAATGCTCTGTTGTTGTTAGGCCGCGCAGGTATGCCGTGGCGCGCGTGTCGGCGTGCGTGCGGGGTGTGTTTTGCTGTGCTCCTGTGTGTTATGCCGTGCTCCTGTTCTGCCGTGCTTCTGTGTTCTGCCGTGCCTCTGTGTGCTCTGTGTGTTCTGCCGTGTTCCTGTATCTGCCGTGCGGATCGTCGCGGTGGTCGTTTTGGCAGAGCTTCTGGGCGCACGCGGCAGAAAAAGATCAGGAGCACGGCAGAATAGGCCCCAAGAGCGAAGGAGCACGGCAGAGAAAGACAAGGAACACGGCAGAATAGACCCCAAGAGCAAATGAGTACGGCAGAATACACCCCAAAAGCTAAGGAGCACGGCAGAAAATGACCAGGAGCACGGCAGAATAGACCTCAAGAGCTAAGGAGCAGGCAGAAAAAGACCAGGAGCACGGCAGATTAGGCCCCAAGAGCGAAGGAGCACGGCAGAAAAAGACCAGGAGCACGGCAGAATAGACCCCAGGAGCTAAGGAGCAGGGCTGGATATGCCTCAAGTGCGAAGGAGTACGGCAGAGAAAGACCAGGAGCACGGCAGGATAGACCCCAAAAGCTAAGGAGCACGGCAGAGAATGACCAAGGAGCACGGCAGAATAGGCCCCAAGAGCGAAGGAGCACGGCAGAAAAAAAACAGAAGCACGCCAGAGTAGACCCCGAGAGCTGAAGGAGTGCGGGAAAATAGACCCCAAGAGCGAAGGA